TCTTTCAAAGAACCAACTCTTTGATTCATTAATTCTTTGTATTGTTTTCTCAGACTCTATTGCATTGATTTCTGCTCTGATCTTTATAATTCCCTCCCTTCTTTTGCCTTTGGTTTGACTTGGGTTTCTTTTTGTAGATGTTGAAGAGCATCAGGTTGTTTATTTGTGTTTGTTTGTTTTCGTGATGTGGCTATTCACTGCAATAAATTTTCTTCTGAAGACTGCTTTCATTGTATCCCACAGGTTCCAGTAAACTGTATTTGTATTTTCATTTTTAAATAGATATTGTTTAATTTCTTCTTTAATTTTCTCCGTGACCCACTGATTGCTCAGGAGTATATTATTCAATTTTCATGTGTTTGTGGGGTTTTTGCAGTTTCTTTTGTCATTAATTTCTAGTTTCATGGTGCTATGATCTGATAACATGCATGGGATAATTTCAATTCTTTTGCATTTACTTAAGCATGTTCTGTGGGCTAGTATATAGTGTATTTTAGAGAATGTCCCACGTGCTGCTGAGAAGAATGTATATTCTGATGTTGTTGGGTGGAACACTCTGTATATGTCCACCAAGTCCGTTTTTTCACATGTGTGATTCATTTCTGTTATTTTGCTGATTTTCTGTCTAGTTGATCTATCCTTTTGTGTCAATGGCATGTTATGGTCTTCTGTTATAAGTGTGTTATTGCTTATTTGATTTTTCATTTCTGTTAATATTTGTTTTGTATAGCTGGGTGCTCTTGAATTTGGTGCATATATATTTAAGATTGGTATCTCTTCCGCTTGAAGTTTTCCTCTAACTAGTGTGTAGTGACCTTCTTTATCTCTTTGGATCATTCTTGATTTGAAGTTCACATTGTTTGCAGACTGACTCTACCTCTGCTTTTTTTGGGGGGGGGGGAGAGTTCCTGTTGCATGGAATATTGTTTTCCATCCTTTGACTTTCAGGCTATGAGTTTCCTCTTGGGTGAGATGGGTTTCTTATATACAGCATATGTTTGGATATTGTTTCTTGATCCATTCTGCCAGTCTGTTTCTTTTAATTGGTGAATTGAGGCCATTTACATTAAAGGTTGTAATTGATATATATTGGTTTAGTTCTGACATGTTATCTTTCTGCTGTTGATTCTTTACTTTTCCACTCTTTTTAATTGTTTGCTTTGCTTAGTATTTTTTTCCTGTGTCTATTTAGAATGTCTTTCAGTATTCTTTGCAGGGTTGGTTTGGTGGTCATGAGTTCTTCAGCTGTTCTGTGTCATGGAAGTATCTTATTTCTCTATCCATTTTGAAGGACAGTTTTTCCAGGTACATCAATCTGGGTCATAAGTCGTTTTCCTTTAGGATCTGAAATACTTCACCCCATGCTCTTCTTGACTTCATTGTTTGTGTTGAGAAGTCTGCTGTGATTGTGATAGGCTTTCCTTTATAAGTGATTTGTCGCTTCTCTTTAACTACTTTTAATTGTTTTCATGTTGGATTTCTGGGATGTTGATTATTATATGTCTGGGTGTAGTTTTATTTTGGTTATGGGTATTTGGATTTCTATATGCTTCATTTACCTGTACGTCAGTTTCCATTCTCATGTTTGGGAAAGTTTCAGTTATTACTTCTGTAAATAGTTTCTTGATATCATTTGTGTTGTCACCTTCTTTTTTGTTTATACTTATCAATCTTATGTTGTTTTTCTTTGCATCATCTTGTAGCTGTTGAACTATCTCCTGATTCCTTGTTAGTTTTAAAAGATTTTTTTTTCCTGTTCACTAACTGTAACCTTGTCTTCAAGGTCTGAAAGTCTATCTTCACTTTTGTTGAGGCAGTTTTGTCACTTTCAATGCAATTTTTGATTTCCTATATGTCTCTTTGAATCTGCTTCATGCATTGTTTGTTTCTTATATTGTTCATTCAAGGTTTCCATCTTTTTTCATTGTTCCTCTAATGTTTTAACTATATCTTCTTTAGATGTGTTCAGCATTTCTTTCATTACATCTGTCATTTCTTCTTTTTTCTTTTTTGTACCAGGAATGAAACCTTGCACTTGTCAGGGAGGTACTTATGCCTGTGAAATAAATTCCCAGGTCTTCATTTCATTTCTTCTTTTACCTGGGATATTATTTCTGATCTGAGTTCTTATATAGCTTCCCAGAGTTGTTTCTTTACTTCAGTTGGTATAAGTTCAGGAATTTCAGGTGTATGGCTTACATTTTCTTTTGTGTCCATGTCTCCTAGGCTTGCTTGGGATGGACTGGAGGTTTGAGATTGCGTTTTGCTCTTTCATTTTGTCATTTTCCTATATTTCTGGGCTTGGAGCAATGCACCAAAGCTTCTCCATTGGCTGAAAATCACCTCAGGCACTTTTAGCCTGCAAGGTGGAATGCAGCTGTAGGCCCCAGGGGTCACTGGGTGTGGCCCAGATAAGCCCAAAGGGACCTCAGGTGCATCCTCCGGTGATTTGGGACACTGGGTGGGGCCTTAGCAGGCTTGGAGCAATGTTCCAAACCCTCCTTGTGTGCTGGAAATCACCTCACACAATTTCATCTCTCCATCTCTCAAGGCAGAATGCAGCTTCCGGCTCCTGGGGGTGGGGGAAGGGGTGAGGTGGTGGTGTGGGGGGATGGTGTCACTGGGTGTGGCCAAAATAGATAATTATAATACTAATCTCCATTAGTTCAGTAAAAAGAACAGTTTGTGCTTTTATTGTTTGATCAATTTTTTCATGCCTATATCTTGGAAACTGAACAACTACTGGGAAGATAACAATATGCAATATATTAACCATTGTTAATCTATTCTTTGTTTTGAAATTCTGTATCATCTTTTTTCTTTTTTCATTTTAAAATAAAAATAAAAAAGTTCTTCACATGTTTGAAATAAATCTTTCATCATAAAGTAGTTTAATGTTCTCAGAATTCTTAAACTATTGCCTTAGAGACACCCAATATTTAAATACATGTAGTTCCGAATGTAAGGAGTGAGGTAATACTAATGGTGGAATTCTATGACTGCAGTTGCAGAGTGGCTTTAAAGAATCTTTTGTACTTCACTGGCTGAGCAGTATGGCAATTAGGAGAGGACATTTGAGCTGGGTTTTGATGGATGCATAGAAGTTTTTTAGGACAAGAAAATAAAAAGAAGGAACAGCACATGTAAAGGTATGAAGTAAAGTAACATGTAGGTCAGAGAACTACAAATAAGTTAGCAGTTTTGAGATTTATGGACAGTATGATTATGACCTCTATGTGATATTATATAGTCAGAAGAAAGCTCAATTTGTTCAAGAGGTTGGACTCTACCCTGTGGGAACAAAAGACCAGCACTAAAGGGCCTCAAGATGGTGTGGGTAACAATCATACTTGCTTTTATGAAATCACTCTGGAAAAGCTATGGAGGAAGACCGAAGAGGGGCACTAAAGAGAGGGAGAACAATTAAACCTGGGTATTAGTCACATTCAGATAAGAGATGAAGAGCTTGGATTGAGACAGTGAGTGGCATGTGGATGGTGGAAAAGAAGTTAAAAAACGATTTAGCTACTCTGTGGAACACTATTCAGCAATGAAAAGTGGAGAAATATTAATACACATAATGATTGCATGAATATAAAAATGTATTAAGTAAAAGAAGTCAAACACAAAAACAATGTACTTTATGATTCCATTTATATAATTTTCTAGAAAAAGCAAATCTATAGTAACTGGGGACAGATTAGTTGTTGGCTGGGGGCACAGTTTGTGGCCTGAGATGGATTTTAGGAGGAAGAAACTTTTTCAAATTTCGATCATGGTTACCACATCATTAAATGCTGCTATTAAAATGGATGAATCTGATTATGTGTAAATATTGCCTTAATAAACAAACTTAAAGTGAAAAAAATGAGGTAAAGGTATCAAAAGCTTTAGAAGACAGAATTCATATTGGTCTTGTTTCTAGAAAACATGTGGAAAAATAAAAGTGTAAATGCTGTAAGGGAACTATCCAAACTAGTTTTCAAACTATTTTCTAGTAAGAGTATTTCAAAGATGGACAGAAATCGATAGAATGATATAAAGAACATATATATTCTCAGTAGTCAGTTTTAGCAATTGTCAATTTATGGCCAATGTCATCTCATTTAAGCCCCGTAACTGCCCCTTTCTCCTCAGTTACTCTGAAGTGAATGACAAATATGATGTAATCTGAGCCATAAACATTTTGTATAATGACTCTAAAAAGATAACCACAATACCTGTTGCATACTTAAAATTAATAATAATTCTGGAATGTCGTCTACTATCCAGCTGGGCTCAAATATCTAATTGTTTCACATTGTCATTTTTATTTTTATTTTTAAACTGTCCTAACTATTTTTTTTACGTACATTTACGTAACTTTTTTTTTCAGTTTCTCACAATAATGAAACAGCACGACGTTTACTCGTGTGTCCTATTTATCTAATGAGTATGTTCTCAAGCTGCATCCATTTACCTATAGAAATTTCCAGTTTATTCTCCTTTATACATTGTCATTTTTAGAGCCTGACCCCAAATCCAAACAATTTACCTATAAACTCTGTTTTTTTCTCCTTGAAATTTATTTGTTGAAAAATCATTTTTTTCCTTTTCTTTCTTTCTTTCTTTCTTTTTGTCCTTTTGGCAATGTAGACGGGCCTGAAGCTCACTTTACAGCCCAGCTTGTCCTGAACTGGCACCAATCCTTTCGCCTCAGTCTCCTGGGTGCTGGGATTACAGGCAAGTGCCATCATGCTCAGCTGAAAAATCAATTTCTTAACCTAAGATTTTATTCTATTATAGAAATAACTACCTTCCAAATATAGTGAGTTGTTTTTCAGTGTTTTATAATTATTCTTTTAATATTTTTGGTGCATTTCAAATATTTTTTGATAAAAACGCAGATTGGTGACGGAGGATTATCTCCCTACAGTCTACTATATTTTTGCTTCTTGTAGTTTATCTCAAGCACTGCTGGAAGCACTGTTGAGACATCAACACAGACACAAATTACTTACAGTTGTTGAGGAATCATCTGTTCCATCAAGGAAAAAATTTAATCTTTCTTCTTTTTCCAAAATTGTATCAACATTTTGGATCATAAAATTTTTTATATCCATCACTTGACTCCTCCTTGTGGAAATTATGCTGTTACCTTGATTTTTATTGTATTTCATCTATATGGGTTGAAATATAATACAAATTCACTTTTTATAAGTAGAATTTATTATACTATATTCTACAAATAGAACAAAGTGTCAGCTCACATGTCAGCTGAAACTCAAATTGTCCATCTTAGTCTTACATAAAGATTTAGTTATTTATGTTTAAAAGTCGACTTTATCTTTCGAGCTAGTTTTAGGCCCACAGTAAACCTGAGCAGAAAATACACAGGCTTCCCGTCTCACCTTTTGTTGCCACCCATGTGTACATTCCATTCTCTTTGTTTTCTGGAGCTGGTGATGGAACTCGGGGCCCTCACACCAAGACCAGCTCTTGTTTCAATTTCTTATTTTGTGACAGGTTCTTGATAAGTTACAGAGTTGCCCAGGCTGGCTCAAACTTTCCTCAGCCTCCCCAAGTGCTGGGATTTTAAGTGTGTGCCACTGTACCTGGCTTACATGTGCCATTCTGTGCAAATATCTGTTTGTGTGAGCATATTTGCATGTGAACTTACACACAAATATGCTCATTGTGCCATTTTAATAATGAAAAATAACATATAATTTCAATGTCAATCCATATGGGAATTGTTAAATAAGTTATGGCACTATACCATGTTTCAAAACTGGTAATGCACATATACGAACAGAAAGATTGTTATGATACCTTCTTACATTAAAAAATAAGCTATAGAACAATATAATTTACCAAAACACTTAGTATATCCTGGGTACTTTTTAAAGTTACTTTATACATATTAACTCATTTAATTTCTAAATTGCTGTGTAAAGTAGTGCTCATGTCATCTTTTATTTTCTAAATAAACAAACTGAAATTGAAAGAAATTAATAATTTGCCCAAAGTTACACAGATAGAGGCAGAAGGAAGGTTCACATCAAGACTGGGAGTGTTGCTGACTGGTAGAACACTAACATGTGTGAGGCTCTAGGTTTGATCCCCAGAACTTCCATTAAAAATAAAAGAGGGAGAAAAAAGATTTATATTTAAGAAGTGCCATCCTTGAGGGCTTTATCTATTGTACAAACTATCCTTATTTTCTTTATTTAATAAGTATGTATAGACAGGCATGGTGTGCACACCTGCGATCCTAGCACTCAGGAGGCTGAGGCAGGAGGATTGCCATGAGTTTAAGGCCAGCCTGAGCTACATAGTGAGCTGAAGCCTAGTCTGAACTACGCAGTAAGACCTTGTCTCAAAAAAATAATATGTGTAAATTTATGTTAGATATACATTACAAATACAGACCCCCAATAGTTCTAGAGATTACATACAGAATTGTTAAAAGTGCTCACCTTGGGGGGGGTGTGATTCATATTATAAAGAGATACTCATATTTCCTTTTATATTGTAGAATTACCTCACATTATTAGTGAGCCCTGCTTCTGTAATAAGAAATGATATTAAAACCCTTTGCTCTAGGGAAATGATCTAATCCACCTTTAAATAGACCTCTGATCTTACTGGTTACTGGGCCATGAAATTTGTGATTGGTATTCTGCAAAGAGCTCACTACTTAGATGTAGAAAAGGGAGGGTTTTATGTTGAATTCAGTCCCCGCAAAGATATCTTGAGGTCCCAACTCAGTGTGGCTGTGAACGTGACTTTATTTGAAAATATGGAGTCCACCAAAAAAAGTATACACATTTCAGGAAAAGAAAAAATTACATAAATATTTTAATATAAAATTTATTGAGACATCACAAGAATACAAGATTGGCCTCTACAATTACAGGAGGTGCTTGGCATGGTGGCCATTAGCTTCCACACATTTATTAGTACAACCAAGTGCTGCTTGGGTAACCCTGCTCACTGAGATTGCTGCCACACACTTTCCTATTCCTCGCTAAGGGCCGGCAGTATAGGGGTTTTCTGTGATATACGACATCCTCTAGGATTCTCCATATGAGGTAAACACCATTTGTTAAAAAAAAATCATACTATTTTTCTTTCCTTGATATGTGTATACATTGTTTTTGGCAGACTCTATAGTCTTTGCAAATGTTATCAAATCTGGATAGTTAATATTTGATTTTAATTTTTGCTCATTTTTTCTATTTTTAAGAGTTAATTTTTTTTTTAAATCTTTTTATCGGTACTGGGAATCGAACTTAGGACCACACATTTGCAAGGCAGGCGCTTATGCCGCCAAGCTAAATCCCCAGCCCCGAGTTAATTTTTTAATCTAAGTGAATCTAAGTGAACTTTTGTCAAGATAAAGTGTTAATGGTCCATTCAGTGACAGTTGAATTTTTATTACATATCTATAATTTTAAAATTTCATTTTAAAGAGGATAAAACCAACCCAAACAAACCAGTGTAAGAGACACAGAACTTCAAAAAAATTTTTTTGAGACAAGGTCTTGCTGTATAGTTTAGTCTGTCCTTGAACTCATTATAGAGCCCAGTTTGGTCTCGAACTCAGTGATTCTGTTGCTTTAGGCTTCTGAGTGCTGGGACTGCAGGCATGTGACTCCATGCCAGGCTCTCTATATTTCAAAAATTTAAAAACTAGTCTTTTGGAGTTAGGCGCATTTTGTTAATTACAAGAAATGTAATACTTTTATACAAATTTTTATAGATTTAAAGCTTACCAGGTTAGTTTTTAAATGTAAAACAGATTATTTCTTGGATTTAGAGGTGTCAATTGCTTAAAAATGTGTATATTTTCCCACAGTAACTAGGTTTCAGGGAGGTGAACTAATATTGTATTTTCTTCTGTTGAATATGTAGAATTTACCATAATAAAATGTATGAAGTTAATATGAAATATTTAGCTTTTTTTTTTTTTTTTTTTTTTTAAGACAGTCTCGCTACGAAGTTCAGGCTGGCTTTGAATCGCCATGTAGCTTGGCCTTGAACTCACTGTGATGCTCCTGCCGCAACCTCCAGCTGGGATTCCAGGTGTGTGCCACATGCCTGGTTTATCCTTAAGTATTTTGGTAGGCTGTGTGGTAGACACATGCTATCATGACCTCCAACGGTCACATCTCTGTCTGTTCCCCTAGTCTTGAGCGTGTCTTACTTAATAGACAGATGCAAGGTCATGTGTTTCAGTGCTGCGATTACGACACAAGGTGGAAAACCCAGGAGAGTGGAGTGGGAGCGAGTCCTCTGCTGGTCTCAAAAGAATTTAACGCTTGCACCAAGAATCTTCATGCAAGGGAACAAGGGCGAGTCTCCAGGTTCTAACTGCCTGCGCTGCAGCCAGCACACAGTTATATCCTCATACAGAGACTACCCCTGAGTGAGCTTGGAGGCGATTCCTTCCCAAAGCTTTCGCAAGGACGCAGCTCAGAGGTCACATGGAGGGCCTCGTGGAAGAGACTCTCAGCAGAGAACGCAGCCAAGCCTGGACCCCCACACCACGCAGCTGAGGGACAGGCATGGGGGTTGCTAAGGGCTAAATGTTTTTATTATGGAAGGAGCTCAGACATAGGAAAGTGCAGTGAATCCTAGGTACCCATCACTAGTGTAGGCAGTTGTCTGCACATAACCAATCATGTTTCATCTCTACCCAAGCAAACACCAGGTTCTAGCATTTTAATCTGTAAATGCTTATCTTTGTATCTCTAAAAGATGTGGCCACATTTTAAAACACAAACACCGCATTATCACTGCTCAAAAAGTTCTTAATATCATACAGAATACACTTTTTCCTTAAACTTATCTAAAACAGGGGCTGAGGATTTAGCTCAGCAGCATAAGTGCCTGCCTTGCAAGTGTGTGGTCGTGAGTTTAATCCCTGGTACCCATAAAAAAGAAAAAGACAAAAAAAAAAAAAAAAAACCAAAAAACAAAACCTTATCTAAAACAAGTCACTGCAGCCAGGTGCACACCTCTAATCTAGTACTCCTGGGAGGCTGAGGCAGGAGAATCACAAATTTGAGCCCTGTGTGGGCAACTTAGCAATTTAGTGAGATCTTGTCTTGAAATAAAACAAATAAGAAAATGGCTGGGGATGCAGCAAGTATGAAGGCCGTCTATTCAATCCCTAAACCAAAACCAAAACCTCCGCATCCTCAAATCAAAGTTCTTTAACAGTCCTTCAGTCCAACTAGGATCCAGAATTCACATACTGTTGGGCATGGTGGCTCACGTAGTAAGTCCAGTGCTCTGGAGCCTGGGGCAAGAAAGTGGAGTTTGCTCCAGCCAGGCAACTTAGTAAGACCCTGTCTCCAGAATGAAAAAAGGTTGGGATGTAGCTCAGGGTGAAAGCCCCAAGTTCAATTCCCAGTGCCACAAAACAAAACAAATGAAACAAAAGTGACATATTGCATTTGATATGTCTTTTACATCTCTTTTAAATTAGTCACAGACTTTCCTATTTTGGCATTTGCTGATTACATTATTTCATTATCATTTCACTGATCTATTTTCTCTAACTGGAGTTAGAGCTAAAAGGTCGGTCAGATTCAGGCTTGATGTTTTTGGATAAGAATATTTCAGATGTGTGCTGTCCTACACATTTTCTGATTGACTTTTTAAAAAAATACATTTTATTTCAAGGATAAAAAGAAAGAAAGAAAAGAGAAGAAGGAGAAGGAGAAGAAAACCCTGAAAATTTTCAGCACATACAGTGCATATTGTCATCCATTCTGATTGACTTTTAATTTGAGATTAGGAAAAAAAAATCAGTGACTTTAGGGATTTTGGGCGTGTTTCACCCATTATGAAGTTTCTCCCTAGTGTTTTACCTCATTTTTAATCAGTTATTGATGATAATTGTCTAGGTCCACTATCTCATTAAGCATTAAAAGTGGCAGTATTTTATCACTCTACCATTTGTTGGCTGACATTCTTTGACAGTGCAAACACAACTTCCCTCCTCAACTATGAAATCCCTCAGAGGTACAGAGTCACAGGTAGTATCTTCCAAAGTTGGCTGATAATGGATATTTCCCCCACTTTGTTAGTGTCTAGGAATTCATAGAGTCAAACCCATTTGGTGTGTTACAACCCATTACATCGAGGGTGTGTGTGTGTGTGTGTGTGTGTGCACATGTTGGGCACTTGAATCCAGGGATCGCTGAACCCATCCCTCAGTCCTTCTCAAAGCTTTAGGTTTGACTCAGGGTCTTGCTAAGTAGCCAGGCTGGTGTCAAACTTGAAACCCTCCTACCTCTCCTACCCCAGCCTTTTCAGTGTCTAGGATTGAAGGTGTGGTTACCACAGCTGTCTTCAGTGTTGCCCAGGGCGCTCAGATTGCTCTGTTTCTAGCCAGCGCAGCCTCTTTACTGTGGTGCCTTTTCCCTGAGCTTGCTGACTGCGTGGCTCCCTTGATTTAGATGTCATGACATGTTTCTGGCTTACATGTTTTCTGTCTCAAGTCTGGACTCAGGCCTGATTTCTCTGAATCAAAGATGGTATTTAGACACCACAATTGGGACTTAGGTTACTTTTAAAATTTTAATTTAATTGTATAGTTGGGTTGGGTTTTAGGCTTTTGCAGTGGCTAAAAAAGAAACTAAAAAAATTTTAGGGGAAATTTGGGGTTAGAAGGTTTTAATTGAGTTTTTAAAATATTAAGTAAGTTTATTGGTACATTTTTTGTATACATAATGATCACATTCATTATAGAGAATTTGTACCTGTATATAACTTGATTTTTTTCCTATTCTCCATCCTTTTTAATCTCCCTTCCCCTCCTTATTTACAAAGGTTTTGTTTCCATTTTTTCCTTCTTTTCTGATTTTTATATTTGTAACTGTTCTTGCTGAGAATATTGATTCTTACTTCAATTATTCACATAAGTCTATATTTACATAAGTCAATTTCAGAATAGTAATAGTATTAATGCTAACAATGTAATTCTTCAAAATAGATGTTTTAAAGTTTATTTTTAGCTCTTTTTTTGTCATTAGGGCACAATCTGATAGGAAACCAGTTGAAAGTATTATTTTATAGAATCACTTAAATATATACAATCTTTAAATTTTTAACAGTATACAGTTAGATTCTTATTTTTTGTTTTGATTTTGCTTTTGAATTTTAGGGATTACTTTAAAAGTTAAAAATTTATGATAAATACATATATGTACATAAAATGTATCAATTTCATGTATATATATATTTTTGTTTTGTTTTGTTTTTGGCGACAGGGTCTCAATATGTGGTTCAGGCTGGCCTTGAACTGTTTTCCTGCTTCAGCCTCCTGAGTACTGGGATTTGTAGGCAGGCGCTACCACACCCAGCTCCATTTAACAATTTTAAAGTACATGGTTCAGTGGCATTAGTACATTTATACTGTTGTGCAATTGGCACAATCACCCACTTGTTGAACTTCTTCAGCTTCCCCAACAGAGCCTCTAAACTACCATATCCCGTGTCTCCACCGCCCCAACCACCGTTCCACTTTCTATCCACTCCAGGTAGCCAAAGTGGAATTGTAGAGTATTTGTCCTTTAGTGATCTCTTATTTCACTTAGTAGGGACAGCTTTTAAAAGTTTAATTTAATCATATTTTATAACTACATAAAGCCTTTATAGGGCTCCACAATCAAATTTGCAATAGAAGCTTCCCCAAAGCTGCTTAGTTTCTATAACTGTCATTCCCTCCTTTGTCTCCTCATCCCCACAGAGCCAATCATGTGTTTTTGGTTTATTCTTCCTCTTCCCCTTTATTTTTAAACAGTAAACAAGCAGACATCAACTATATTTGTATTTATTCCCTTAAATGATTGCATGTGAGAATGTAAGTAAACGTAAGCATACTTTCTCTTGCTTTAGCAATGTATCGTGGGTGTCACTCTGTCTTTCTATAAAGATAGTGCTCATTCTCTTTTACAGCTTTTAGCTCATAACAGTTTTATCAACTGCAACCCTGATAATATAATTTTTCTGTCTCGTTCCAATTTTAGTACGTGTGCCACTGAAGTGAACACAACTTTGATAATATTTAGGGCCATAATTTGAAGTACATACCATATACTGTCCTAATACTTGTTGAAAGTCTGCAGCAACTGCATGTGAAGGACAAAAATGTTCTTGTGACATCAAAGGGTTTCTTGTAAAAGTATCACTAACCTGGAGAAATGAATGGAAATATGTAATCTATATAGATAATTCAACTGGAGAATTACAGAGCCTGTATTCATTTGAAGCAAAGCCTGTCAGAAACTTGAAAATAAAAGAAACTATAACATTCCTGGCATTTTAGTGACATTGCATCTTTTTATATTAAGATGTAGGGTTTATGAAAACTGCCCCAAACTGACCTCCTCTTGCTGAGCCTCTCTGAAACTTGGTATGGCTGTGAGTACTGTCTTTATTTGGTAGATTGAAGGACCAAAGGGGATGAACAGGTATTTCCCTGTGGCTCATGACCTTTTCTAAACAGTGTTTTGTTTCTCTCTTGCTCTCAGCTTCAAAATCCACTGGACAATAACACAACAATGCTAACTAAATGTCAGGACTTTCTATCAAACCCTTATTATAGGATACTTCAAAATCTCGGAACAGAATTCTGAACTCTTTGTACATATGTTGTATTTCTTAGAAGCGGTGGTAAATATTATGTGGTTAGCAATTTTGTGTCACCTGGAAAGATGGTGGTAAAGTTGGGATGTTTCATTGCAACAGGCAGAGAGAAAACAAATCAGAGTATATTCAGTTAAGTGGCTACTTGGCATCTGGACTCCAGAAACTGGTCTAGGTATAACTGAAGAGTGAATTCAATATTTAGGCCTGGTCATCTCAGACCCCATCCATAGATAGGTGTAATTTGAACTGCATCCTCTAAGTTAGTGTACCAAAGAGAAAATACATATATGATTCATGAATTTGATGGAAGAGTGATTACTAGTGACTGCAGTATATCTGTGTTTTTATTAGTATTTTTATTAAAATATTTATCCTGAATTATATATTTGTAATTAAAACAATATATTAGTTTCATTTATAATTAAATATAAGAAACCAACACAGAGATCACCATAATAATGATTTAGCTTTTGTCTGTCTCTAGACTGCCTTTTGTGGAGTCTCCTACTGGTTGGAGACCAAACTTGGGGCAATAAAAAAAGCAGGAACTATCTGTTGAGGTTCATTATCCTTTAGAAATTTACCACATTTCTTATATCTACATAAGTACATAGATGTAAGTGCTTTATATACCATAATTTATATTTGCTGGACATTCTCAGTTGAAACTTTTCCTAGACTTAATTTGTCTTACTTTCAAAATATTCTTCTTATTTACCTCTTATAATTGATTTGTATAGTCTTCTATTCATATATAGAAATGTCTTTAGAATTTCAACAATTTTTGTTATTGCCTCTTTATATAATAGTTGCAAATTAAGACATGTGCTATTGAAAAAGTATACTCAATATTAGGGTAGCTTAATTTATTTTGTAATTAAAAAAAATGAAATATAAGGAAAAGCAGTAATGCATCTGAGTGGATGGTCTTTGCAGACCTTGCTTGGGGTCAGGGAACATATGTGAGCAGGAGAGGGCTGAGAGGTGAAATTGAGAAGCCTCTGAAGGTCATAACTGGCTCTGCATATGAACAGGGGTGAGTGGCTGCTTTGGGTTTGTGACACTGTTCCTAGTGAATGAGAAACCAGAAGCCTCATATCTGCCAAAGCTGACAAGTTCTTACAGTTGTATGAAAAGTCACTTACTTCTCTAAGAAATGCTGATGGTGCTCCCATATCCAGGGCATTGTCTGTAGCACATAAGTAAGTAATTCCGTCGATAAGGAGAGTGTGGTAGACATAGCTTTGAAAAGAATACATTTAGTGTTTACAAATATTGAAGAAATTAAGCACCTGCACTGAGGATTTGATTTTTGAACTGTCATAACTGGTCAACTATATAAATAATTACATAAATAACTTTATAATCAGAATGATGAGAAGAGCTTTTATCTACTTGACAAATTAAATTATGTTAAATAAAAATGTATACAGCTTGAATATATATTTAAAATTGCATTAATAAAAATATATGTAAAACTTTAGAACTATAAATACATTTATTTATTTGCTAATACATTTATTTGCTTGTTTGTTTTTGTTCTTTTGGTTTCTTGAGACAGAGTCTCCTTATGTATTCTAGGCTGGCCTCAAACTTATGTGGATTCCTCTGCTTCAGCCTTCTGAGTGCTGGGATTACAGGCGTGTGCCACCATGCCAAGATTTGTTTGCAATAGTTTGGACAAAAATAAAATTCTAAGGCTGAATCAAGATTTTGCCTAATCAGAAAATATTACATTCACTAACTTTTATTATCCTTAAATTTTTAGGTAGATAATTTTGATACTTCTTGGCTTTATATTTTGATAGATGAGAATTTAAAAGTTGTAAATCATCAAAATCAAATATTCTGGACAACTTGATAAGTTGGAGAGAGGGAAATTAAACTGCTACTAGTAAGCTAAAATGTGCCTTTCCACAGCCACTCCAACTGCTAGACCTTTCCTGCTTCTCAGAAGAGCATCCATCCCTTGATGCTGAATGGCTACAAATTAATCTAGTCTTCCTGAATGGTTAACAAGCAACAGTCTTGGTCAAATGTTAAACTGGGTATGTATAAGAATGAGGATTTTCAGGAACAAGTACAGAAGATAATTCTAGAGGCAGAAAATTTACAGCTGTGCCATTTCAAATAAATCTTCATATCATGAGAACAATATGCTAAACACATTTTAATGATGATAGTGACTGATATACATATACTTCACAAGGAAATACTTTTATTTATAAATTTGAAAGACTGACTGCTGGACAAAGAATTCTTGATTCTACCTGAAAGTTACATCTAGTTTAAGATAAGTTGATATTCAAAATGAAAAGAAGAAATATATATATATTTGGTACTGGGGAAAAAACTTACAACCTTGTGCTTGCCAGGCAGGCATATATGCTGCTGAGCTAAATCCCTGGCCAAAAAAGGAGAAATATCTTAAATTTATGCTTAGTATGTTATTAGTAATATTCAGAAGCTAGTCTCTCTCTCTCTTTTCATTTTCTTATTTCTTTCTTTCTTTCTTTCTTTTTTTTTTTTGAGACAGGATTTCTCTATAGTTCATCTGGCCTTAACTCACAAGGTAGCCCAGGCTGGTCTTAAACTTGTGATCCTTCTGCCTCAGCCTCTTGAATTCTGAGATTACAGGCCCAGGTAGAAACTATTTTTAAAGTTACAAATGTGAATATTTGATGTTCAGGATATATTGTTAGTTGATGAAAAGAAAATGGAGAAAATATATCCTATATGTTGCTATACAGGACATACGAATGTATACATGTATTCTATAATGTATTTTTTATAGAAAGTGTTGCTTGTAGGAAAAAAAGAAAAGAAAAAGAAAATTAAAAACCAGAAACTTGTTGAAAATCATTACCTATATAGTGTGTGAGAGAAAAGGAGTGAAAATTAGACATCTTGAAGAAACTTTGTTTTGTAAATCTGATTTTGGAAACATACGGTGTTTGCCATAATTAGAAAATGTTATTAAGGCTATCTTTTTTGAAAGCATAATCATTAAAAATCAAAATGAGAAAAATGATTTTGTATGGAGTGACCTAGGAGGGGATGGTGATGGCTTGGTTACTATTTAGAAGGAAAAGGCAACAGGATTTGCTGCTGGATTGTGTTTGGATGTAAAGTACATAAAAAGCCAAGGATAACAAAAGTCATCAGACTGGGGACCTGAAAAGGGGTTGTGTGGAAGACTACAAGAGGAGGCTTTGCTTTGGACATAGCTGAACATATTCTTCAGGCACCCAAGCAGAGCTATGCCCAGGAAGTTGGCATATGAGTCTGGAGTTCAGGGAAGGGGTCTTCATGTAAGGCTCAAATCTGAATGTACAGTATAGGAAAGTGCATACGGAATGAGGAAAGTGTCTGGCTTGGAAATCATTTCAGTTAGTTATTTCACTGAGGACAAAACTGTTTAACACCATTTGTAATCCTCAATAAATTAGTGGTCCTAGGGGCCAGCAATGAGTATCAATGGCTGCTGACATCTCAGAAGATGTAAGTTTACAAGTACCATCCAATGGAAAAACACAGTTTTGTCAAAGGGATTGAGTGTCTGTACCCAGTTGCATGGTGAGTTGTATTTTGAGATGCAATCAGCAAACCTACTTGTAAACTGGGAAACTTTTTGTGTTCCTCAACAATAAACCATAAGAAAAGGAAATGAATGTAGAGGGTATATATTTACTAGAAGAGATTTAGGTCTTAGTACTGTGGGAGAATAACTCAGGAGGACTATAAGGTTAAGACCAGCCTGGGCAACTTAGTGAGACCCTGTGTCAAAAAAACAATCATGGGGGTAGGGACCAGGGGTTCTGAAGGACTGGGAATGTAGCTCAGTATGAAGTCCCCAGGGTCAATCCCCAGTACAGAGGAGAGGCACAGGAAGAGAGGGAGGGAGAGATCAAATTGAGAGAGAGAAAGACACCCCTCCCCCGACAGAGACAGAGAGACAGAGACAGAGACAGAGACAGAGACAGAGACAGAAAGTTGAAAAAATAGGCTGGACTGGGCTACTATCTGAGCATGCATGTTTGGGAGCTGGGGTAATGAAAAAATGGGGAAGGAATTGCTACAGTAGTAGAGTCATGGTTGATTTTGATTTTGAGGGGGGAAATCAGTGAATGGCACACAACACATGATGTGGGGAGTTTGGGGGCGACTGGCAGGATCCTGGTTTTTTTGCCCTTGGTGATAGTTGCTGTTGGAAGTCCCTCGGCAGTATTTCACAAAGCTCTTTGTTTGATGTGATTTTTTCCTTGCTTTTGTTTTGAAATGTAAGTTGTCCAGGCTGCCTGGAACTCCTGGGCTCATGTGATCCTCCTGCTTTAGTTTCCCTAGCAGTTGTGACTTCGGGCGTGTATCACTGCACCAGCTTTGATGTGGTTTTTGTAACTGTGCTTTACTTTAGACGAAATAATTAACACAAACCTGCTCTTACAAAATAGAAGTGTCTAAAAATAATAGAAGCTCTCTTTTCCCTCACCCATTTCTTTACTAGCAAGTGTTTTCAGGATTGGTTAAGACCACAGCATGTGATATCCCAAGTAAAACTTAAGAATGATTGCTATATTCTTGGTGTTATTAAAGATATTTTTAAGTAGAAGTTGCCTTTTTTATTAATGAAATGTTTGGGTATACTAAGAAAATACAGAGAAAAGATAACAGAACACTGTTAGACTCTCCATCTAGTTATAGTATTAGAGATACAATTAATATCCTCTATGTCTCCTTCCTTCCTTTCACTCTCTTTGCAGAGATGTGACTGCTGTCTTCAATGAGGCTTTATCATTTCCATCCATGATTTTATACTTTTACATATAGATGGCATATCTGTGGGCTCAATCAAGCATATGTACAACTAGTAGTTTCTTAACATTGGAATTATCAGCTAGTAATTTAAAAAGTTGACTGTATTAGAACATACCTTCCCATCTGCACTGTGGTCTCTGGTCTGGCTGTAAAAAGCACCAGGCTAAGCACTTTTGCTGCTGCTTCCTAAAAATAAACAACCAACATTTTCTCTGTAGAAGACTAACAGTGTCTTTCACTATTTCCTATATTTACCACTGTTCTAAGTAATTAAAGAAAAACTTTTTCCTAAAAGAAGTAATGGATGTGATTCATAATGCATGGTAAGAGACAGAAGTCATAAAATATTCATATGAATTTGGAGGAAAATATTCAGATCATATAAATATATATTCTTTATGAATACCCATAAGAACAGCATAAATACAGATCTTATTTTTATAGTCATCATACATGGGACCTTATCTTAGCTACTTTTTTCATTGCTGAGATAAAATAGCCAATATTCACCAATTAAAGGAGGAAAGGCTTATTTCAGCTTACAGTTTTTGGAGGTTTCAGTCCATAGTAAGCTGGCTCCAAGGAAGGGTGGGATGGCAGAGGGGCACTGCAGAGAAACTATTCATCGAGAAAGTATCCATGGCAAGGCAAGAAGCAGCAAGCAAAAATCAGCAGCAAATCTGCCTTTTCTCTCCTTTTTATTCTACTGAGGCTCTAAATCTATTGATTGGTGCCACCCACACCCAGGTTGGGGCTTCCACTTTCTATACCCAGGATTACATTAATTTAAATCAGTGGGCTAATTTAGTACTGCACACCCTTAGTAATAAAATTATACCCCTGGCCCCACCAAAACACTCATGCACATCCCTGTGTGCAAAAGGCATTTAATCTATCTCTAAGAGTTGCCAAAATGCTAACAGTTTTAGCACTGCTGGAAAGTCTAAATCCAAAGTCTCTTCTGAGAATAAGGGCAAGCTCTTAGCCATGAGCTCCTATACAAATATGAAGAAAGTTAAACAATTCCAACATTCAATGATAAGATATATATTACTATTTCAAAATGTACAAATAGGGTGATAGATAGGAAAGGGACTCAAGCAAGACTTGAATCCAGTAGGCTAAACATAAAGTTCCATAGTTCCATGTCCAGCATCTGGGGTGATTTGTGGCAAGCTGTGGATTCCCAAGGGCTTGGGCTGCTACATGTCTATGGCACTGTGGGTGTTTGCAGCTCTTGTGGCTTCTCTCTTGGGCCAGGTTTTCTTGCTTTTTATCAGATTATCCACATTCCTGGCTTTCCCAACCTTCCTGGGGGTCCACTGTACTTCTGATTTTACATGAACAGCTTCCCATACTGCTTTCTTAGGGGCATACTACTTGGCCTCCCAAGTTTTTTTTCTGAAATCTGGGTGGAAGCCTTCCTGAACCCCACAACTCTTGTATTCAGCTTGTATGCAGCTAAAACCAGCACTATGTGGATAATGCCAAGATCTGCTGCTAGCTGGAGTAGTAGCCAGGTTTTCCTCTCTCTTGACTGTAGGGGTTGAGTGCCTACATTGCTGAGAACTGTGAACTCAGTCTTGAGGAACAAATTCTCTAGGCTTCCACCATTCTGAAATGTGTCTGGCGCTGTCTTCTCAAAGCAAAGTCTTTCATCTCTGGAATTCTGAGGCTGCAAAGGGTGAAGTTCTGCTGGCTCTTGTGATATCAGGTCATCTTTTCTACTGTCTTGTTCCTTTTCAGCAAGAAAGTTCTCTGCTCCATCTTTGCAGTCCACCACTTTACCAGAGCTTCCTTTCTGGCCAAACTTACAAATGTTTTAAATTATTCTCCTGGGCTCCTTGCTTTTGATTATTAATATAGATCTGGCTAAAAGTCCTTAAGAGTAGCTATTCTACTGCCTCCTCACTAGACTGCCTTGAAATTTCTTCCACCAGATTAATTAATCCACTTCCCTTATTCTTAGTCTCATGCTAGTCTTTGGACAAAACAAAATACAAAATTTCTGCCAAAGGATAACACACATATGGTCTAGAGTCCAACAGCCAATGCATTTCTTTTCTTTCTTTCTTTCTTTTTTGTCTTTTTGAGACAGGGTCTCTCTATGCAGATCAGGCTGGCCTTGAGCTCACTTTGTAGCCTAGGCTGGTCTTGAACTCGCATTGATCCTCATGTCTCAGCCTCCCCCAGCTTATGCCCGGCATAAATATATTCCACTCTTTTTTTTTTTTTTTAATGGTACCGGGGATTGAACTCACTGACTGCGCGTTTGCAAGGCAGACACTTATGCCGTTGAGCTAAATCCCCAGGCCCCCAATGCATTTCTTGTTCCTAACTGAAACCCCCTGAGTCTGGTCTTTATTGGCAGCATTTCTATCAGCAATCTGGACCTCCGAGCTCTGACTAGAATCTCCTATCAAGTTCAGCGTATAGCATTCCGGGGCTGCTTCTTCAGCTAGCATCTCCAAACCTTTCTAATATCTTTCCACAAGCAAGTTCCAAAGGCTCCTGACCCACATGGCCAGGTAATATCACAGCAGTGACTGTACTCGTGGTACCAAAATCTGTCTTAGTTATCTTTCTCATTGCTGAGACAAAATAATTGACATCCACAAGTTGAAAGAGGAAAAATTTATTTCAGTTTAGTTTGTAGAAGTTTCAATCCATAATTGGCCAGCTCCAAGGAAGGATGGCATATGAAAAGGGCATCACAGAGGAGAAATAATGCGTGGTAAATTAGGAAGCAGCAAGCAACAACAAGCAGCAAGATGTCTTCCCTCTCTTTTATATTCTATTCAGGCTCTAATTAGTTGATGCCACGTATACCAAAGATGGGGCCTCCATTTCCCAGAACTATGCTAATTCAAATCAATGGACTAATTTAATACCACACATCCTTTAATGCATTATCACATGCTCTAGGTTTAGCCAGTTCTGAAAAGCCCCACTTATGAGTGCATGAGGTTTTGGTGGGACATCTAGACACAAGCCATTATAGACTTAGAGACTGGGGAGCAGCCATTGAGACTATAAAATGTTGATAAATTAAAAATAGTCAGTTCTTGTTTTTTGAATTTAGTAACTCTTTGCAATCTTTTTTAAAGATAAAAATGTTTAGTATTGTTCATTACCTCTTTTTAAAAAAAGTTGCCAATAGGGGCTGGGGATTTAGCTCAGCGGCATAAGCACCTGCCATGCAAGCAGGCAGTCGTGAGTTCGATCCCCGGTACAGATAAAAAGTTAAAAAAAAATGTTGCCAAGAACTCTTGTTCTTTGAAAAAAATTTGCAAAACCACAATATTCAGAATTCCCTAAATATAGTGCATTGTATGGAATCCTATTGATTTACTTTAGAAGCATAAAAAGAATCTGAAAGTTACTTAAGCCTTGAATAGTCACACTTCTCATGAACATTTCTATTTTCATTAAATGACACTTAAAATAGAAAATTTTATGAAAGGGTAAAGCTTATCAGTGGTAGAAAGTAAAACCTGAAACTCTTGGTATTGCCTAAAAAGTTAAGATAGGATTCTTTCTTTCATTCTTCTTCCTCCTCCTCCTAATCATCATCATCTCCTCCTCTTCTTCCTCCTCATTTTTCTTTCTCTTTTTTTTTTTTTGAGACAGTCTCACTTCATAGTCCAGGCTGGCCTTGAACTCACAGTGATCCTCTTGCCTCAGTCTCTTGACTGCTGGCATAATAGGCATGTGCCACCATGCCAGAAAGATGGTATTTTCTAGGAAAGGACTTCCTAAGAAACTTGAAAAAGTAATAAATAAGTTTTTTGTTACTCTGCAGTTAGTTTGGGACTATATCCAGGCCCTAGTTTCTCCCATGTCTCTTTCAGAAAATGTAAACAATAAGATATTGTTGAAACAGAACAAAGTAAAACACGAAAATACAGTAAAATACAGAATGAAGTGGGCTCTAGTTGTTTTTGGAATTCATGTGCTATAGACCCAGTAATGTGTCTGACTTGTTTCCTTGTGGGGTGGAAAGAGTGGGTATTAGCGGGTACTGGGGTACCCAGGGGTCTCTTCTATGCTGTTATCCTGTTCAAACCATTGCTGCAAGCAAAAAACATAGAGGTTTTACATTTATTAAAGGTAAGAACAGAAAGGAAAAGATGTGCTTTGCAGAGTGAGCACAGCCCAGTTAAAGGAGGAAAAGAAATATACCCTGCAGTATGCAGAGCAGGCTGGTGAATTCTCAGTGGCCATACTCTTAATGGCCACCATCTTTCATACTCGTAGTTTAACATCAGACCTAGGCCATCCAATAGAAAAATCTACTTGATTTTGTGCCGAAAGAATTGAACTTAGCATTCTTTGATTAGTATGAGGTACAGGGTTCAGAAGCTGTTCTGTGTACGTGTCCTACTTGCATAATCAGTGTGCCATGCCCTAATATCTGGTCTCAGGAAGATCACCTGTCCAGCTATAGGACCCTATATATGGTGACTGAACACTATGTTTGGTATAAATGTTCTTCAAATCCATATAATTTTTTTTGTGTGTGACGGTCCTTAGCATTGAGTGAAGCCCTGGCACAAAGCTCTCTCTTTCCTTTCAAACTGAAGTGTTCTTTAAAGTTCTTTGCCATCTTTTTTCTCCTTGGTTTGCTTGCTGACCAGCAGACATTCCACACTTTTAATCCCCTTTACTTGTGGACAGCCCATTCCTTTCAACTTCTTCACTTCTAGTTTGCTTCTGAGAGGCCTCTCAGCTTCTGAAAATCTTCAATTCATTTTTGCATCTTTGCAAAAAGTTTGTACCATTATTAAGCATTGTGGGCTGAGAAGATAGTCCCTATCTTGAAGTTCAATGGCCGAGACAAATAAGATTGCAATTCAGACTGGTAAACAGTTTAGTAAAGCGGGGCGAGGATGCAATTAGCCTGGAAGCAGAGAAAGCTTCCACTAAGAATTCAGGTCTCTAACCATGGAAGAGGTTATACTGCCCCCAAGTGGGGTCATGGTTTAGACGAAAAGATGGATTCAAGGTATTCCCAGGAAACAGAGCAGACAGAACTGGGTAATGAATGAACAGACAGATGGGAAGATGAAAAAGAAAGAAAAATTGAAGACGACTCCCAGGTTGCAGCTCAGTAGACTCAGTAGAATGACTCAGTAGAGCTACTACTCAACAAGATCTGAAATTTGAAAGGGGTAATCTGTTAAGAAAGATAATTGATTTCTAGACAATGTTTGAACTTTTTCCACTAGACAATTCAGCTCTGGAGAGAGCTAACTTTGGAAGTGGATTTGACAGTAACCACAGGAAAGGTTTCATGGCTATGAATGAGTGTATTAAGTTGCAAAGAGGATTGCAGTTAGAACCCTAAGGAACACAGCAGGAAGGGATTGGCAAGTATTATCTTCCATCCACGTTTCTGGCCTCATCTTTGGGCCCTACAAGTTGTAACCCGGTTCTCTAGCCACCCTCAGTTATTAGAGATTCCCAAACACACTGTGGTGTTCCCTCTGCAGTTTTCCTTCCGTTCCCCCTGCTAGCCTGAGACTAATTCTTATGAGCCAGGCACCCTAATCTGTGGTCTGATCACCTTCAACTATAGCCGGTAGGGAGTGCCTGATCCTTGCCAAGTGCTACAGAACGTTGTGAACCGACCTGCATTGATAAGCTTTGTGACACTGAGCAACAACAACAATACAGACACAGGGATAAGGAGTTCCAGGACAATGTCAGGTTCATCTTCACGGCTGATTCCTTCACATTCTTTGAGACTTTGCAACCACATGTTCGCTACCTGTGTGCTGAACCGCAGGGCATTACTCTGCACTGGAGAGAATTTAAAGTCTACGAAGTTGGGCGGTCAAATAGGGTGCATGCAGTACCAGACCTAACCCCTAGGGGCGCACACACGACGCCTGCGTTGGCATCACGACCTGACGCGGGATGGGGCGGGGCCTCTCCTGGGATGGGCGGAGCCTCTCGCGAGGCTCAGCCTGTACCCACAGAGCCGGTTCCCGACGCTCAGCGGCGCCGCGTCCTGAGGAAACGCTGGGCGGGCGCCAGTCTCGAGGAAGCCCTCGGGGGCGCAGGCGCGGACCCGCAGGTACCTGATAGGAGCCGCCGGTCAAGGCCAGCTCCGCTAGGACCGCTCGTCCATTAGCAATGCAGCTGTAGGTGATCGTCATAGCAGGTGGATCAGTGGAGGAAAGGCTTCTACCAGTTCTAACCGCCCGCCTCGACCTCGGGGCGGGGCTCTGGGCGCAGGAGACTCCTGCGCACGCGCGAGGAGTGGTTGATTGGCAGAGGGGGCGGGGCCACTGTGGGTTGAGCTGATACTGTGAACAGGTTCATTAAAATTATTTAAAAAAGCGCTTTTCCTTCACAGGGTTTTCCGGCTTCTGATTCGTTCACGGTCTAGGACACGTAAAACGCACACGTCGGCGTAAAATAAAATTCCTTTATTCGCTTATTTAAGCTTTTGGCCAAACTTTGTTATGTGCAGAATCTTGAGCTCCTGGGTGTGCAAAGGTGAAGGCCCTGCCTTTGAGCAGCGGCTGTCCCCGTAGGAGACCCCCCGCTGCGCGCGGGCGTGTGTGTGTTCTGCGTGCGCGCGTCGAGGTGCGTGCGCGTAGGGACAGGTGGACGGTGGCGGCGCTGCGGAAACCTGCGGCTGGAACTTGGGAGAGCTGTGCAGTCCGCGTCTCTCGCAAGGATGGGCGCTCCGCGGGGAGGAAGTGAAGGCAGGCAGGGGAAGCAGGTTCTATAAATCCTTAAGGGACCCTTGGGCTTGGGAATGGAGGTAAGGCGGATGGCAGAGAAAAGGTGTAGGAGAGAGGGGAGAGATGTGAGGCGGCAGTGGTAGAACGGCCCTTGTAACATTTTGGATGCCTGGATAAGAATTTTCAAAAACACAAACCAAAGATAACATGTATTTTCAACAGCAGGGTATTGTGGCATAGTGGGAAAAACACGTCTTTGAAGTCAGTTTAGGGCATTGGCATTTGCTCTGTGCCTTTGTTTCTGCAGCTCAACGTTTTTAGACTCAGTTTCCTGAGTTAAGTTGTTAAGTTTAAATGAAGTAATTGTGTAAAATATTAGCATATGATCGATTGGCAGTTGTATCCTAATTGTGGTAAGTACGTAATGAAGAATTAGTTTCTAGAGCTCCCAAGACTATCTCCTTAAAGGAAAGACAGTCTGTCCTGGCAGTATTTAGAAACAAGTTATGAATTCGGTTTACTCAGTTCAGTTAACTTGGGTTTGACAAGGAAAGCGCAAAACTGATCTAGGCTGTAGCCCCTGAAAAAAAAAATGCCGTGTTGAATCATGTATCCTGCTATGGAGAGGAAATCTAAAATCAGTATCTTACCAGTTTAGAAGTACTGTCTGTGTAACAGATGAGGTGACTGGATTACAAGCACTTGGTCACATTACTTCTGCATGGAAAACTGTTAATTCTGAGATGATGCTTTGGCAATATTCATGTTTACAGTAAAACTAATCTCAATAAATGGGCATATTGCAATGCTCTTCTGTTTAGTAAATAGGAGATCTGAAAGTGAGTAAATAAATGAGCTATAGTAAGATTATTTTTTATTAAAATTGTTAATGTAAAATTATGGAAACATCTCATCGTTGGAGAGGTGTATGTGAATCCAGCCTATCACAGTGGCACCTTATTTTACTAAAACAGTCCTATCAAACAGTTGTTTTGGGTTCATTTTACACAACTCACATATTGAGGCCTACAGTGAATATCAGTACGACTTTATCTTTCTTTTGAGCTCTTTCTCTTATCCCTGCTCAGCTTTCCAAACCTTTAATTCTCTCCTGCAGTTTGTTTCACCCTGTTTTGCTTTCTTATCTTCCTGTATGCTGTAATCTACCTGAGGAGTGTGGTGTCTCCTGGTCCCTACCAGCTTTCCTAAGGTCAGTTCAGTGTTTCTCTGCTCTCTTCTTTCACCACAGGTGCCACAGACAGGGTGGCACCTGTCTCAGAGTTTGTGTGTGCGTGTTCTGAATCATGATCATAATCTTGGTAAGGTGGCCTCTGTTGCTCCTTTCTGCCTGCCCTTACCATCAGCTTATGCCCTCCACTTGCATGCCGGGGCCCTCATGGATGCTCTAGTTCTCTCAGCCAGTTTTGTAACCCTTTTGTCGGGGAAGAAATACTTTCTGCTGCTCCACAGGCCATTCTGAGGCTGTGGGAGCCTCGTGCAGTAGTACCACCTCACCTGTCAGGCTGTGTCACTCTGCTATCATGTGGGGAGCAGCTCTGGACCTTACCTCACAGGGAAACAAACTCTCAGGTTCCATTTACCAGGTGTCTTCTCACTACACCCCATCCCACCCCATCTCCAGGGACTTTATTCCTAATGACAATGCTTCCTCTGTCTCTGCCCCTCTCCGGCATGGAGAGATACCAGCAAAGGTAAAATCCTCTCTGTTCTTATCATTTCATAGAAATAACCACTGCCAATAATCTAACTTATAGTTATGCTTTTTATGTGTTTATATATTTAGCATTCATGAACATATATACTTTTTTTAATGAAATCTGCTTTTTTTTTTCAGTGTTGGAGATGGAAACCAGGGCTTCGTGCATGTGAGACAAGTGCTTTACCACTGACTTACACTCCAGGCCCCCGAAATCTGGTTTTTAACTTTTGTTTTGAAAAACAGTATGTTGGAAAATGGGCACACCTTGAGACCATAATGTTAAGTGAAATAAAATCAGACACACAAGTTTAAATATCGCATTGGTTCTCTTATATAAGAAACCCAAAACATAAATAAGTGCAAAATAAAAAATGGAGAATAAGAATTGGGGAGACAGCTCTTTTGCAAATGGGAAAGGGATCTAGAGATGGAGGATAGGGGAGGGAGAGGAGGAGAAATAATAATTAAAATATGTAAATATACCAGGTCCCCACTATGAATGTAATCACTGTGACTGCAAATGTGTACTAATAAAGAATTTAAAAGTTTCCTTTGACTATCATGTGTTTCAAATATTTTTCGCTGAGTTTATCATTTGATTTCCTGTTTTCTTTTCCTTTTTTTTTTTTTTTTTTTTTTGTCTTTTTCCTTTTTATCGGTACCGGGGATCAAACTCACGACTGCCTGCTTGCAAGGCAGGCACTTATGCCGCTGAGCTAAATCCCCAGCCCCTAGATGTTATTTTATAGACTTTTTTTGGTTTCTTTTCTATTTAAAAATGTCAAGTTTGGGACTTGTTTCATGTTAGGCAAAGCATTTGTGTCACATGCATGTGTGAAAGCATTAGTGTGCACATGACCTGGATGCTGCTGTTGACAGTCGTATTCAGCTGCTCTGCTAGGCTTAGTATTCTGTGGAGGGGAGTCTCTGGGAACATGCTAGGTAGCTTCTGGGTGTTGATTCTGGTAGTAGAGTGGTGAAGGGATTTTGGAGTTGGGCAGGTGTGAACTTGGATCCTCACTGCCACTTTCCAGTTGCTTAACCTCTGTGTTGCTAAACTTCAGTATAAGCATATTTTTTGACTGGCTCCAGGTGTTCCCAATTGGATAGTTGCTGTGTTAATCATATCTATTCACTGAGATGCACACACATTTAAAAAAGCACACCCTGGCCTGTGTGAGGGCTTATATACATTCAGTGAACATATGTGAGCCATCACTTAGAGCATATTTATAGACATTTCCACAATTCTTTTGTAAAATGTGTTCTATGTCACTCTCTAGCTTGTAAGTTTCCTGTGAAAAGAAGCCAAGGATAACCCTGTGTTACCCTTACTACATTACACAGTGGCAGGAAAGAGATCTGTATGTGCGAAATTCAAGATGCAAATAAAGTGGGAATTTGGTAACGAATCCATGCAATACAGCCATGGAGCACTTTAAAATGGCAATGTTGGGGCTGGGGATTTAGCCCAGTGGCATAAGCGCCTGCCTTGCAAGCAGGCAGTCGTGAGTTCGATCCCTGGTACCAATAAAAAGGAAAAAGACAAAAAGAAAGAAAAAAAGAAAAAAGAAAAAAATGGCAGTATTTTCTCAGATCTCTGACCTCCAGTCCTTTTGAGGGAGGTGTTGAAGGATGCCCAAGGTGGTGGAGGAAGGTATTTCAGAATCTCAGATGTGACTTTTAGAAATCCTTCATGTTCAACCTTCATTGCACCAAGATTTTGATCCCATCCTCACTGCCTCATCTCTGTATTTGAGGATCTCTTGAGTGGCAGGCCTCAGCTTTCACTGGGAATGATGGCATCTTTCGGGTGTACTGGAACAGAGAAAATAGTTGTTTTCTCTGCATTTCATGGAATGAAATACAGTAATGTGTTTAATCATTCCTTTCCTTTGTCTGCTTTTGTTGGTTGACTTCAATTAATACAGATGAGGCCGACTTCTTATTGCTACTGGGAATTGTAGTCAAATGAAAGAGAAGTGGCAGACTGTGCTGAAGACCCCCAACTTAGGTGTTAGTCACACTGCAATTGGTTTGAAATCTAACTTAAAAAAAAAAAAAAAAAAAAAAAAAATCTAACTGCACCGCAGAGCCAGCAGAGGGAGCACAGAGCACAGATTTGAAGGGAAAAAACAAACTACAGCTGGGAACTATCAGCAAGGTCATTCAAGGTTTTTACCAAAGAAAGAGATGAGATGTAGGAAGAAGATCCATTCCTCGTCTTCATTCCCGTGCTTTCTGTTGTGATTCATTCGGGCTCCCCAGGCCTTTTGTCTCCACAATCCTTGCCTCTCCTTTGGTCTGTCACACAAGAAGACCCCCAGGTGCCATCTTGTTCTCTGTGCTGCTCTCTCTGGGTCAGTTACTTTGCCCAGGTTCAGAGATGAACATTGTGAAGGTCCTAGAAAAACTCACAGGAACCCAGCAGCCTTGATTCCTTATTTGCACTGGGTAAAGCACTTTGTTGGACCTGAAGGGTGGAAGAGAGGGCTGAGGGTGGTTGTTCTGTGTGTGAAGAATTCAAGCTGGGAAATGTTGCAGGAGTGCGGTTTCTTGACAGTGGGGGAAAATGCCACTTTGTTGTGCTTTACTGTATTGTATAAGCAGCACCATGATAGCTCCAGAACCACACATGGTATGTCCCCAACGCAGGCACAAGTTTTTCAGCTTTTTCTGCAGTAGACTAGGATGTCAACTGGTATTATATGAGAATAGATTTGCTATTAAGTGTGTGGAAACTGTTAAAAGAATGGAGCAAATTTCTTAACTGTGAGAGTTTTTAGATCCTCTGATAGGAAAATTTACATGGTTTTTGAATTTGTTTGAAGGGAATGTGTGATGTGGGCTTTCTCCAACTTGTGTGTACTGAACCTTTTAAATAAGTGGCAGAATTCTATGAATTATATTTGGAAAAGTGCTGAAATTGATTTGGCCAGTGTTTAGGGTCACAGATAATTCATGAAATGCAGCTGTGGGGCACTAGCCAGTGGCATTGTGTTCTCATGTCTTCTCTGGCTTCCCAGTCCCTGTGAGGGTGGTGTGGAATGATTTGTGGGGTGGCATTTCAGTCTTCAATGGGGCTTTTTGATGACTTTGTGTCCCTCACTACTCTTTCCCACACCAAGATTTTGATCCCATTTTACGACCTCATTGCTATGTTTGAAGATCTCTGGAATAGCAAGCATCCATTATTCCTGACTATGATGGTACCCTCTCAGATGTATTGGAGGAGAGAAAACGGCTGTAAGCCATTGCCCTACAGTCTGAGATGAACACTTTCTGCTTGTGATCAAGGTTTTTCATTGTCTTCTACAACTCTAATATCTTCCTGTTTAACCTCTCTACTCTATCTACTACCATAGCCAGTTTAATCTGCTCACTTATCTGAGATCACATGATGCCAGTTATAGGTTGGAAGCTTTTGGTTATATAATCTCCCATTCTCCTAGTTATGCCTGCATCCATCTTTAGTTTTCTTTAAGCATTGTGTAATACTCTATTTCACTTTACATAGTCTATACCACTTATATTTCTTTACAGAGTCTATACCACTTCTTTACATAATAGGTTTCAGTCATTAATTGCATTCAGTTAGTTCTTTGTTAACAAATTTGTTGTTTCAGATTTTATAAGTTGATGATTTGGAATGTAGAGCACACTTCTCTACAGAAATATGGTAGCTGAGTCAAGGTACATTTGCAATAAAATAGTAGTAAATAGTCTCTAGTAATTAAAATAAATCAGTAACTCTAGTGATTAAAGAAAACATAATCAATAAGACTGAGTTAGCTTACTCTCATTTATCTTGGTGCTTGTATTTAAGGAAGAGCAAGTTTAATTAAAAGAAGACAAAGAGTTGTTAGAAATTGGTGCATATTCTGAATGGGTCTTATGGGCCATTTCATAGAAGGCACAAGCCTCTCTATGTCTTCATTGCTTCACGACTCAAAGCCTTCTGTTTCCATGGTCCTGAACTCTGACTACTAATACTTTTGTACTTAGCTACTATTTGGAATATTTTTGGTTTAAAAACATTTGTGGGGACTCTCCTTTCTCTTTCTTTCTTTTCTTGCTTTCTTTCCTTCCTCTTTCTTTCTTCTTTGTAGCAGAAATCAAACTCAAGACCTTATGGTTTCCAGGCAGGTTCTGTGCCAGTGAGCTATATCCCTGGCCCTTGTGGGAACATTTTAATCCAAAAAAGAGGAACAGTGTAGGATGATTCACTCTGTCTTGGTCACTTTTCTCTTATTGCTGAGACAAAATGCCTGATGCCCAAAATCAAGAAAGGAAAGGTTTATTTAGCTCACAGTTTATGGAAATTTCAGTCCATAATCATCTGGCTTCAAGGCAGGGTGGCACAGGGACAACACTTCAAAGTATCAGAAGACAGTAAGAGCCATTAGAACAAAAGGGCAGGAAAGAACAATCCTCTTCTCTCCTAATGTGAGCAGGCTACCCACGCCTCCCCCGGGGCTGATGTAGCACTCACATCACCTCTGAGCTGAGGATGTTTATAAAGTAAGGACCCTGGCTTCCTGCTAAATATCTTGGTTAAACTTCTGATCTCAAATTGATACAATGAATTACATTCTAGGGCAGTAGAGTCTCCTCTACACTCCAGGATGCAGAACTGCTGAGTGAGTTAGTTAAGATTCTAAACTTTTCCAGGTGACAAAATGTGTCAACCGTAGCATTCACTTTATTTCAAATGCTATTAGAAACAAGGTAATCAAGACAGCTTAGTACTGGCCTAAGGAGAGACATGTCCTTACAAAGAATTGAGGGTTCAGACATCAATCCTCTAAAAATGTAATGCATAAAGTTTATTAATAAACTTTTTATTTAATAAACAGAGCAAGAATCCAGGACATGAGTAGTTTTCAAAAAATGATGCAGCTTGGCATGGTGGTGCATGCCTGTAATCTTAGTACTCAGGAGACTGAGGCAGGAGAATCACCATGAGTTTGAGGCCACCCTCTGGTACATAGTGAGTTCAAGACCAGTGTGGACTACATAGTAAACCATGTCTCAAAAAAACTAAGTAAAAAACCAAAAATGATGCTGGGACAGCTGGAGAGTTACATACAAAAGTCTGAATTTGGCCTTTACCCTCTACTGTATAAAAATTAATGTAAACATCATAGGCCAAACTGTAAGAATCTTAGAGGAAAAAACAGTTGATAAATCTTTATGACCTTGGATTTTTCAAACAATTCTTAGATATGATGCCAAAAACAATGAAAGATAAATTGGACTTGATTGAAATTACAAACATTTTTGTGATGCAAAATGGCCCATCACAGGCTGAAC